TGAGGGCCCTGTTCAATGAGCTTACACGCTAGAGGGAGTGGGGTAAAATGACACAAAAAGGTAAGGATAGTATTAGACTAGTGACAGTTGCAGAAGAGGAATCAGTCAGGAGCTACTGACAGTTTAATTCATACGCTTTTATGAAGAAGCGGGTTTTTCACAATTTTTTGAAGGAGTGGAGACTGGGTGAGCATCCATCGGAGGAGGGAAGTGAGTTTCACAGGAACGGTGCAGCACTCGAGAAATCTTGAAGGCGAGCATCAGAGGTGGGAGTACGGACAGAAGATAGACGTAAGTCTTCAGCAGATCGTAAGGGCCTAGACGAGACATACTTGTGTAAAAGTGAGGATAGATAGGTGGGAGCAGCATTATGTAGAGATTTGAAGGCAAGAACCAGAATTTTAAATTGAGCTCTATATTTTATAGGAAGCCTATGCAGGAACTGACAGAAGGGTGAGGCATGGGAGGTGGGGGCGGACAGGAAGATGAGATTATTATTGAAATCTGACCGTGATTTATCCAGTCATATATCATGCTATTAGTAAATTTTTAATTAATTTAAATTGATTAAATAAAACCAGCATAATTACCAGTTATGATGTAGATGTTCTCATCAGATGAGTAGGTAGTCCCAGGAACTTGAATGCGAGTGTGATTGGTTGTATGGAGGTGTGTAAGTAATAGAGAAAAGTGATGTTGGTTAGAAAGTAATAGTAAAATTCTCACTGTCCAGGAGTGTTTCTTGAATTGTGTTCAAGAGAGTTTGAGAGTTAGTCCCAGAGTGTCCTGAATATCTGTCCTGGATCTCTCTGAATGTCCGAATCTGAATGCCCAAACTAACCTCTCTCTTCCCTTTGTCCTAACTTTTAAAGGGCCAGACTCTCTGTACGTCATTAGTTGATAAGGCCAATAGGAAACTGTAGGTGTGGTCAACCTGCAGATCGCAATTTAGATATTTGATCCATAGAGGGCAGAGTCGCCTCACTAAACCTTCCTATCCAGGAAAGAGTTAACTTTTCCTGATGACGATTTTGACGTCATTTGGCTTATCTAAAATGACTACCATAACTTAAATTTGCTGTCAGTTCAAAGCGTTTCTTTGGATTTTCTCCAGACAGCGCATCGACAATTCCTGTTGTAATTTCTAAAATTGACAGTTCTAAACTCAATTTCACCCCTTACTTACAATGGGACCTTGTAAAATTTAGAGAGTAAAATTAATTACTTAGTCTTCTCGGTCACTAGTGTCTGTGTTTAAAATTATTTCTATTCCATTAACATTTAAACAGAGCAATCCATCCCCCTGCTTCATTGCTTATCACTTGTCTTGTTTACATAATGCATTCCTTAGCTCAGGCTAGTGGCTAGTTACAGAAAGGAAAGACATTTTGTGTCTGTCTTCCCTGAAGATAGCAAAATGGAGTCTGCTTTGTTCTGAGTGACTCTGGCAATATACACTTTTAATTTCTATCTTAGCACAAAATGTCTGCCGATATAAATATCCTGACATTACTGTCCTTGTCCGCAACGGGAGGAGCTTCCTCCAGCGGTAGGAGAGAAAATATCTCCACAAATTCCCCCTTCCAAATTTGCTCCTTCGTCTCATGCTTCAAGTGCAAGCCCAGAGGGCCAGACTAGCACATGTAAGCAGCACCCCGCGCTACGTCCAAGACCCCTCCCTCGAGACAAGCATCGCCCGAGGCGAAACCAACACCGGCCACCGCGGGCGCCGGGGAACCCAGAGGTACTGTACTGCCACCTGTCCCGGGCAGGGGCCCAGGAGGGGAAGAAGACTGAACATTAGGAGGGAGCAGGGCAGGGGACCAAGCTGACCGGAGTTGACCATCAATAGAATTGACCCCACTAACCGCCATATCCCGCTCCCACTGATCCAAAAAACCCCGAAGACCTGAGAGGAACCCTCCCAGCCCGGAACCCGCAGCGCCAGAAGTGTAGGGAACAAAGTACTCACCGGTCGCAGACTGGCGATCCAAGCCCGGCACTGCACTCCCAGAAAGCTGAGGCAAAGAAACAGCAGTTCCAGAATCCACAGAAGGGAGCAGCTGTGTTCCAGGTGCCACCTGCTGGATGGGTCCATGAACTGCCGCAGTATCCTGAGAAGAGAGCAGCAGAGAAGATGAGAGTCCACGCCCAAGAGGAGATGGCCGAGGTAAGTGACCTGCAGGGAAGTAGGGGGTCCAGGCAAGAGGGGGGAGAATAGATGGAGGCAGACAGGGTGGGATAGAGACCAGGAGGGGGGGAGGTAAAAACAGAAAGGATGGGAGAGGAGGGGCAGGCCCACAAGAGGGGGGGAGGGGGGAAGAGGAAACTGGGAAAGAGGATGGGGGACCAGGGGGCCCAGCCAAGGGTAAGCTGGGCCCCCTGGTAGAAGAAACAGTGCTAACAGGGGAAAGAGGGGGGACAGGGGAGTCAGAGCCCTGGGAGCCTTCCTCACCGGCAGAGGAGGCTCCTGACAGACAAGGGGACCCCCCCAGTACCAAGGTACCCCGCACAGCCCGTGAGGGCCTATGTACCGCCCCACCTCCCCGCCGGCCATGGGGGGACCTGGACCGTTGCCAGGATAGCTGTAACCGCCGCCCACCGCCGCCGGCCCGCAATCCAGCGCTGGCGGCCGGGGCGGATGGTGTGGAAGGGAACACGTGCTAGGGATTGTGTATATAAGCAGGCAACTTGGCCATAATAAACCAGTTCATTTGTACCCTTCATCAAGTCTAGGCTGTTGTTTGAGCTAGTTCAGAGTTATAATCACTGCCTCACTTCGGAACCTGAGAGACTTCAAGGGATATACGCAATCGGAGTACAGGGGATCCGTTACAATAAAGTTCAGCAAAGTCAGTTTGGAAGATCAGAGGTTCGGTACAGGTAGATATCACAGGTTGCTCAGACGGCACTTGGTAACAATTTGTAACAAATTGACTGAGCCATTTTGGAGTACCATGGATTCCCTTTAACGCGTGTGACATCAGACGCATAGGCGGGCCTGTTCGGCGAAACACAGAAGTCACTCCTAGGTAGTTGCCGATCGGTAATCATGACAACTGCCTAACTTCAAGAAAGAAATAAACAAGCAGACACAAAGTTAACATAATTCCCAGAGGTTAACATAGATCAGTAGCTCTCGTGTTACACTGGAAAATAAAGTGGAAACCACGAGAATCTGAAAACAGCATTTTGTCAACACCTGTTGGAATATAAAACAATTACACAATCTTACAGGAACAACAGGTTTGGCTAAAATGAGTTTATAATCTACAGGTATTGATTAATTTATCTGCTTCTGCTACCAAAGATTCATTATGTGCATGGGGGCAGACAGAATTGTTGTGCATGCTCCGATGGCCCACTACCAAGCCATGTGTAGGAGGGTGCTAGTAGCTGGACGACTGTGATACTGGGAAATTTTCCAGTGAGCTGGCATAGCTTCAGGGAGAGTAAAAGACACACAGGGGTTGGGGAGGAGGGCCGTAGGGAGACACATACAGAGGGACTGGGGGGGGTAAGAAACAGAGGTGTGAAAGTAGAGTAAAGTGAGACACACAGATGGGGTGAGGTTGGGTAAAGAGAGACACAGAGGGGTTGAGGAAGAGGAACAAGAGATCCACACTGAGGGGCTGTGAAGAGAACAATGGCACACAGAGGGGCTAAGAAGGGGACAATGACACACACAGAAGGGCTGGGGAAGGGGACAATGGCACACAAAGGGGCTGGAAGGAGAAAGAGACACAAAGGGGATAAATGGTGGATAAGACACAAAAAGGGGTAAGACATTCAAAAGATAGGATATATAAAAACACAAAAGGGGGTAAGAAATTCAAAATGGGTTAGGAGACACACAAATAAGTTAAGATGCATTTTTTGGGGGGTGTGGGGCAGCAAAATGCATCTTCGCCTGAGTAGTCAAAAATTATTGTAGAATAAAAATGGTCATGCATGTAAAAAAATACCTTTGAGATATCTCATATGTTTACATCAAGATTTTAATATTTCACTAGTCCCTCTAGGCTAAAGAGGTGACAGACGTATAATTATAACTAGTAGTCAAGTATTCTTGCACCGGTCCTGTCTGTGTGGCACACCTAAATATCTGCCAGCCGCCACAGTGTGACACCTAGCACAGCAGCCAGCAACAGTAGTGAGAGGAGCCAACTTGTGCTGGGTATCAGACAGCTATGTTATATTACTATATTGTGAACAGGGACCAGAGCGTTAGAGAGAGCATTATGATTACTGGCATTTTAAGATGCTGTGGAACATATTGTAGGTGCAATCTGGTGCTCTGGACTGTTGGCACGACATCTGGTATTGTGGGTGCAGTCTGGTTCTGTGGGCACATTCTGTTGCTGTAGCTGGCGATGTGAGTGTCTCCTAGTACTGTGGCATTAACTTTGTGTGCAATCTGGGGCTTTGGGGGCAATCTGGTGCTGTGATATGAAAAGTGCTGTGGGTGCATTCTGGTGCTGTGATATGGAAAGTGCTGTGGGTGCAATCTGGTGCTGTGATATGAAATGTTTTGTGGGTGCAATCTGGTGCTGTGATATGAAATGTTTTGTGGGTGCAATCTGGTGCTGTGATTTGAAAAGTACTGTGCGTGCAATCTGGTGCTGTGATATGGAAAGTGCTGCGGGTGCAATCTGGTGCTGTGATATGGAAAGTGCTGTGGGTGCAATCTGGTGCTGTGATATGGAAAGTGCTGTGGGTGCAATCTGGTGCTGTGATGTGAAAAGTGCTGTGGGTGCAATCTGGTGCTGTGATATGGAAAGTGCTGTGGTGCAATCTGGTGCTGTGATGGCAATCTGGTGCTGTGATATGGAAAGTGCTGTGGGTGCCATCTGGTGCTGTGATATGAAATGTTTTGTGGGTGCAATCTGGTGCTGTGATATGAAATGTTTTGTGGGTGCAATCTGGTGCTGTGATATGAAATGTTTTGTGGGTGCAATCTGGTGCTGTGATATGGAAAGTGCTGTGGGTGCAATCTGGTGCTATGATATGAAATGTTTTGTGGGTGCAATCTGGTGCTGTGATGTGAAATGTTTTGTGGGTGCAATCTGGTGCTGTGATATGGAATGTTTTGTGGGTGCAATCTGGTGCTGTGATATGAAATGTTTTGTGGGTGCAATCTGGTGCTGTGATATGAAAAGTGCAGTGGGTGCAATCTGGTGCTGTGATATGGAAAGTGCAGTGGCTGCAATCTGGTGCTGTGATATGAAAAGTGCTGTGGGTGCAATCTGGTGCTGTGATATGGAAAGTGCTGTGGGTGCAATCTGGTGCTGTGATATGGAAAGTGCAGTGGCTGCAATCTGGTGCTGTGATATGGAAAGTGCAGTGGCTGCAATCTGGTGCTGTGATATGGAAAGTGCTGTTTGTGCAATCTGGTGCTGTGATATGGAAAGTGCAGTGGGTGCAATCTGGTGCTGTGATATGGAAAGTGATGTGGGTGCAATCTGGTGCTGTGATATGGAAAGTGCAGTGGGTGCAATCTGGTGCTGTGATATGGAAAGTGATGTGGGTGCAATCTGGTGCTGTGATATGGAAAGTGCTGTTTGTGCAATCTGGTGCTGTGATATGGAAAGTGCTGTTTGTGCAATCTGGTGCTGTGATGTGAAAAGTGCTGTTTGTGCAATATGAAGTTGAATGTGCAATCTGGTGCCATAGCTGGTGCTGTGCATGCCACCTATTGCTGTGACAAATGTAACAAGAATGCAGATTCTATGTTTGTTAGTGCCTTGGTCATGGGTGTCTGATGTGGTGCACTGAATAGTGTGAGCATTGAATGTTATCAGTGTTTATTATTAATGTTAATGTCCTGTTACACTACAAAGGAATAAGAGGGCGTGTGTTAACACAGCTGGAATGCATTTCATGTAGTTTATGCTAGCATTGTAAATGCTGAGAAAGGGGAGATCACTGATTAGATGCTTTAAGTGTTTCAGCTTGCGCGAAAATATCAGCTTTAACCCCAAGGCGGCCCCATGAATGCAGCTAAACAAGCTAATATTTTCTAATGAATATTCAACTTCTAGGAAATGATTTTAACAGTGAGATGTGCTTTTTTTTAACTGCTCTGTTTGCAGAATAGTTGATTAAAGGGAAACTCCAGTGCCAGGAAAACAATCCGTTTTCCTGGCACTGCAGGTCCCCTCTCCCTTCCACCCCCCAATCCCCGGTTGCTTCCTCCTTTGCGCCGCTCCTCCTTTTGACTGCGTCAGCCAGTGGGCGAGACTGATCCCGTCCACCGGCTGGGGAGACCTAATACGCATGCGCAGCAATGCCGCGCATGCGCATTAGCGCTCCCCATAGGAAAGCATTGAAAATAGATTTCATTGCTTTCCTATGGGGAAATGAGAGACGCTGGAGGTCCTCACACAGCGTGAGGACGTCCAGCAACGCTCTAGCACAGGTTTCCTGTGCTAGGAACCAGGAAGTGCCCTCTAGTGGCTGTCTAGTATACAGCCACTAGAGGTGGAGTTAACCCTGCAAGGTAATTATTGCAGTTTATTAAAAAAACTGCAATAATTACACTTGCAGGGTTAATGGTAGTGGGAGTTGGCACCCATAAACATGGGCAGAAGTGGTCTGGGTGCCTGGAGTGTCCCTTCAATGAGTGGGTGATCTAAAAACAGCCTTCTGGTGACATCCTTAATTACTGAGCCCACAGGAGGGGACATTCATTGCACATTCCTAATTTTATACTCTAATTGTGGACACTAATTTAGTACAAACCATGTGTCATATATAGAACCGAAGACAATCCAGGCCATGTTAAGAACCATGTTGGAATTGAGACTAAAAACCAGGTCAGAGTAAGCAGGAAATAGTAAGTACTAGGCTGTATATAGCGTAAAGAATGAAGCCCATGGAGCAACGCAGGGGGGGAGTGGGCCTTGACAGGGCCAGAGAGTGGGCAGGTGAAGTTAAGGTCAAGGGGTGTGGAAAAGTAATGTCTGGACAGGGGGGGGAGGAGAATAAGGGTTTAAATAACGGCCATTTTGGTGAACTGGCCTTTTTAATCAAAATCACACTTACTTGATACTTGTCCCTCCCACCCTCCCTTTGTGTTCGGTTGTCTTGTTTGGTAGGTAGTTTCCCGTTTGGTCACAGGAATAGGTCCTGGGTTAAAGAGGATTTAGGTGGAATAGGAAGTGGGCAGGCCAAGGTCTAGGCTGGACTATGCCGGAGTGGAAAATGGTTTGTAGGTTCTAGCTCGTTGGTGGCTACGAATCTGGGGGTGTAGGGGTGTCTGGGTACACCCCTACAGTTAAACATATGGTTATGGGGCCTCTTTGGTAGGCCATGGGTTAAACGTTATGTATTATTGGAATGTTTTATTATGTTATTTGGTAGGGTCATTGTCGGGGGTATTGGGCAAGAAGGTCGGACATAATTAATACTTGTGACAATGACCCTAAATTGTTAAATTGTTGAATTAAAATTTTTTATAAAGCTGTGGACTTTATACTCCAACAGAAATGGTGTCACAGAGTTATTTTATTAAGGTTTTAGCACATGCCGAATAACGACTGTGCACATGTCATGAACACACAAAGTAATAACACTGTATCTCCACGACCTTTATTTTATTAAAGGACCACTATAGTGCCAGGAAAACATACTCGTTTTCCTGGCACTATAGTGCCCTGAGGGTGCCCCCAGTGTATAAGAGAGCTCCACAGGAATAATACTCCCAGTAATGTGTCTGAGTGTATAACAGAGCTCCACATCAATAATACTCCCAGTAATGTGTCTGAGTGTATAACAGAGCTCCACAGCAATAATACTCCCAGTAATGTGTCTGAGTGTATAACAGAGCTCCACAGCAATAATACTCCCAGTAATGTGTCTGAGTGTATAACAGAGCTCCCCAGCAATAATACTCCCATTAATGTGTCTGAGTGTATGACAGAGCTCCACAGCAATAATACTCCCAGTAATGTGTCTGAGTGTATAACAGAGCTCCCCAGCAATAATACTCCCATTAATGTGTCTGAGTGTATGACAGAGCTCCACAGCAATAATACTCCCAGTAATGTGTCTGAGTGTATAACAGAGCTCCACAGCAATAATACTCCCAGTAATGTGTCTGAGTGTATAATAGAGCTTCACAGCAATAATACTCCCAGTAATGTGTCTGAGTGTATAACAGAGCTCCACAGCAATAATACTCCCAGTAATGTATCTGAGTGTATAACAGAGCTCCACAGCAATAATACTCCCAGTAATGTGTCTGAGTGTATAACAGAGCTCCACAGCAATACTACTCCCAGTAATGTGTCTGAGTGTATAACAGAGCTCCACAGCAATAATACTCCCAGTAATGTGTCTGAGTGTATAACAGAGCTCCACAGTAATAATACCCCCAGTAATGTGTCTGAGTGTATAACAGAGCTCCACAGCAATAATACTCCCAGTAATGTGTCTGAGTGTATAACAGAGCTCCACAGCAATAATACTCCCAGTAATGTGTCTGAGTGTATAACAGAGCTCCACAGCAATAATACTCCCAGTAATGTGTCTGAGTGTTTAACAGAGCTTAACAGATCCACAGCAATAACACTCCCAGTAATGTGTCTGAGTGGTATAACAGAGCTCCACAGCAATAACACTCCCAGTAATGTGTCTGAGTGTATAACAGAGCCCCACAGCAATAACACTCCCAGTAATGTGACTGAGTGTATAACAGAGCTCCACAGCAATAATACTCCCAGTAATGTGTCTGAGTGTATAACAGAGCTCCACAGCAATAATACTCCCAGTAATAGTGTATAACAGAGCTCCACAGCAATAATACTCTCAGTAATGGGTCTGAGTGTATAACAGAGCTCCACAGCAATACTCCCAGTAATGTGTCTGAGTGTATAACAGAGCTCCACAGCAATAATACTCCCAGTAATGTGTCTGAGTGTATAACAGAGCTCCACTGCAATAATACTCCCAGTAATGTGTCTGAGTGTATAACAGAGCTCCACAGCAATAATACTCCCAGTAATGTGTCTGAGTGTATAACAGAGCTCCACAGCAATAATACTCCCGTAATGTGTCTGAGTGTATAACAGAGCTCCACAGCAATAATACTCCCAGTAATGTGTCTGAGTGTATAACAGAGCTCCACAGCAATAATACTCCCAGTAATGTGTGTGAGTGTATAACAGAGCTCCACAGCAATAATACTCCCAGTAATGTGTCTGAGTGTATAACAGAGCTCCACAGCAATAATACTCCCAGTAATGTGTGTGAGTGTATAACAGAGCTCCACAGCAATAATACTCCCAGTAATGTGTGTGTGAGTGTATAACAGAGCTCCACAGCAATAATACTCCCAGTAATGTGTCTGAGTGTATAACAGAGCTCCACAGTAATAATACTCCCAGTAATGTGTCTGAGTGTATAACAGAGCTCCACAGCAATAATACTCCCAGTAATGTGTCTGAGTGTATAACAGAGCTCCACAGCAATAATACTCCCAGTAATGTGTGTGAGTGTATAACAGAGCTCCACAGCAATAATACTCCCAGTAATGTGTCTGAGTGTATAACAGAGCTCCACAGCAATAATACTCCCAGTAATGTGTCTGAGTGTATAACAGAGCTCCACAGCAATAATACTCCCAGTAATGTGTCTGAGTGTATAACAGAGCTCCACAGCAATAATACTCCCAGTAATGTGTCTGAGTGTATAACAGAGCTCCACAGCAATAATACTCCCAGTAATGTGTCTGAGTGTATAACAGAGCTCCACAGCAATAATACTCCCAGTAATGTGTCTGAGTGTATAACAGAGCTCCACAGCAATAATACTCCCAGTAATGTGTCTGAGTGTATAACAGAGCTCCACAGCAATAATACTCCCAGTAATGTGTCTGAGTGTATAACAGAGCTCCACAGCAATAATACTCCCAGTAATGTGTCTGAGTGTATAACAGAGCTCCACAGCAATAATACTCCCAGTAATGTGTCTGAGTGTATAACAGAGCTCCACAGCAATAATACTCCCAGTAATGTGTCTGAGTGTATAACAGAGCTCCACAGCAATAATACTCCCAGTAATGTGACTTTAAACTACAATAAATGTGTTTAGAAATCAGTCTGTGTAAATAAGATCCATTGTTCTTCTTCTAAATCACATTTTAGTTGTTCAAATTGTTATTAAGTAAAATTTCTCAGAACAGGGCCACCCCACTCACACTCAGAACAGCCCAGTCCCTGGCCACACCCTCACTCACACTCAGAACAGCCCAGCACCAGGTCACACCCCTACAATTAAAGTGTCTCTCTTTGTCCATTTAAAATATTTGGAGGTATGTATTAAGTTAAACATTGATCTTACATGTTCTCTTCACTTTGTATACCTGTACAATAATAAGCCTGGTGATAAAACACTCGGTTCAGATTTTTGTACCGTGGTCTACTGTCTAGAAGGACAAGAGCCAAGCTTTCCACGGCTCTAATCAATGTAATATTTCAATATCAATATTAGTATATTAAAAAAAATATTATTTAAATACAGCTGGCTTAAGGCAGAGCTTTATTATCACCATGTTAGCAGGTAAGACAGTGTGATTTCTGAATTAATGTGTGTGTTATGTTCTGTGCAACCAGATATTGTTATAGTGAGCTGTACATTCTTCCCATGGATATAACATGTAAACTTAGACTAACCTTGCCCCTTAGCA